CCACGAGATCTACAGATGAGGACGTCTCTAGTTATTATCAGGTATGAGCGAGAGAGGTGGGGAGGAGAAGGGGAGAGAGGTTGTAGGGAGGGGGAGGGGGAAGAGAGAGAGAGAGAGAGGGAGAGGTGGTAGAGAGGTGGGAGGAGGGAAGAAGGGAGAGGTGGTAGAGAGGGAGGAGGGGGAAGAGGGAGAGATAGGGGAGAGGTGGTAGGCAGGGGGGAGACAGGGAGGGCGTGAGAGAGAGAGGGGGAGAAAGGTGGTAGGGAGGGGAGCGGGAAGAGAGAGAGAGAGAGAGTGGGGGAGGTGGTAGAGAGGTGGGAGGAGGGAAGAAGGGAAAGGTGGTAGAGAGGGAGGAGGGGGAAGAGGGAGAGAGAGGGGAGAGGTGACGGGGAGGGGGAAGACAGGGAGACAGAGATGGGGAGGGAGAACAGGGAGACAGGGATGGAGCGAGAGAGAGGGGAGGAGGTGGTAGGGAGCGGGAAAGAAGGAGACAGGGAGTGAGTGAAAGCACGAGAGAGCCGAAGAGAAGAGAGAGGGAAGAGAAGAGAGAGTGGTAGAGGGAGGGAAAGATGGAGGGAGAGAGGGAGAACAGTGAGAAGAAAGAGAGAGTAGATCACCTAGATTCTCCATCGCGCTTCCTAGCTCCTCTTACAAAGGCATGCACATCACTCTCTTGATGCTGTGTGTAACAAATAGAGGTAAACTAACGCTGTCGTCAGAGCATCTTTTTCACATTCTCTGATGGATTGTTAGTCGGCGAATATGAGCTTTGGCATACATTTCTGATAATTATAGAAATCCTGTTGGTAGAGGACGAGAGAGAGAACTCTAGGGAAGAGAATAGAGAATGGTAGAAGGGTGGGAGGGAGAGAGAGGGGGGAAATAGAGGACGAGAGAGAGAGAGAGAGAGAGAGAATGTGAAAACAAGAGCGAAGGATAGAGAAAGGTGTACAACGATTGTTTAATGTTGTTTTGATGTCAACTTTGTTTTAATGTCATTTTACCTCATAGTTAGTGATATTATATCTCGCATGTACTTTGTTATTATTCGCTCATTTTATTGTTCAGTCGGCTGTGATATTAATGTGCTGCGCCTTTGATCATTTTATGTAAAAAGGCGCAATATAAATAAATATTATAATAATAATGATAATAATAACGATTGACAGCGCCAACTGGGATCGAATTTTATTTTTTTCATAATGAGACAAGTATCACCTCCAGATTAAAGAGTAATATTAAGGTGTGAAACAACATGGTACATCTCCGTGTGAGCATGCAAAGTTACAGCTACAGTTACAGTCAAGGCATGGCTTCACTTCTAACGTAATTGTTCGTGGTCACTGTAGGAATAACTTGACGGTACTAGACGTCGTGATACTAGAGGGGCAGGGCGGGCGAGGAGAACTCAAGGTAGCTCCCACCACCATCAAGTTCGACATAAAGGAGAAGGACCTCCAGGACTGTGATAGTAAGTCGTTCAACACTATTAACTTATAATAATCATCATTAATAACTAATTATTAATCATACTACGTTCAACACTACATACTAACTTATAATAATCATAATTAATAACTTATTAATTAATTAATTAATTAATTATTTTAATGAATTAATAATCAGAATTAATGATAACTTATCTACTCACATGGAGAGACATTACTAATCTATAATAATCATAATTAATAACTTTTTAATCCTTATAGACCGCAATGTAACAACCCATGTAGATGTGAGTTAACATTCTCTTTATAGACCCTAATGAACAACCTTGTAGAGTGAGTATATCATTCGATATAGACCGCAACGACAACCCTGTAGATGTGAGTTATAATCATCTCTAATGACCCAATGACATCCTTTGTAGTATTGAGTATAGAATCTCTATAGACCCAATGACAACCT